GTGCTTCATATCATTGCCCCTCAGGGAAATGCAAATTAAAACCCAGTATTATTTACCTATAAGCATAGCTTAACATTTTTAAAAATGGTATAATTAAAAATTATTTTAAAAACTAAAGCTATTTTGGTGATGGGTACCATATAAAAGCAAACTAATATTACAAATAAAACTGCTCATCTTTCACAAAAATTAAAAGGACCGATAATATCAAATGTTGATGAGGATGTGGAGCAACTGGAACTTTCCTGCATTGCTAGTGTCCTGTGAACTACAATAAAATCTTAAGGCTCAACCCCCTGAGGGCCAAAGTAATATCCTAAGACTAAATTGCCCACCATGAGGAGGGAGGTAAGACATGCCTCATCATGTCCTCCTCCCTTCTTGAGGACATCCTTTGTGACACATCAACAGGCCTAAGGATATGCAAGACAAACCTACAGGTCCTCAATTTACACAACAAATATATGTCAGGTGGCTTACCTGTGATAAACAGCTCCTTATGTTAAAACATTCCAAGCCTTTAGACAAAGCTTCATGTCTTAACAAATTACAAGTCAAAGAATCTTTAAACCCACCTATAACCTGTAAGCACCACCCTCCTTCGAGATGGCCCACCTTTTCGGGCCAAACCAACATATGCCTTCCAGGTATTGATTTATGACTTTCCCTGTGTAAGCCCTGTCTCCCTGAAATGTATAAAAGCAAACTGTAACCCAGCCACCGCAAGTCCACTTGCTCAAGGCTTCCTGGGCATGGCTCCTCTCAGTTATGGTCCTCAAATTTGGCTCAGAGTAAATCTCTTAAAAATTATGTTACAGAGTTTGGCTTTTTTTTTTTTCCATTAACAGTACAAACCGGTCAAATGATTCGGAAAACTGTTGATAATATCTACTAAAGCTAAACATACAACTACCCTATGACTCAGCAATTTCACTCCTAGGTATAAACCCAAAAGAAATAAATGTGTATGTCTACAGAAAGATGTAAAAGAATGTGCAGAGCAGTTTTATTCTTTTTTTTTTGAGACAGAGTCTCACTCTTTTGCCCGGGCTAGAGTGAGTGCCATGGTGTCAGCCTAGCTCACAGCAATCTCAAATCGCTGGGCTCAAGTGATCCTTCTGCCTCAGCCTCCCAAGTAGCTGGGACTACAGGCATGCGCGACCATGCCCGGCTAATTTTTTCTATATATTTTTAGTTGGTCGATTAATTTCTTTCTAATTTTAGTGAAGAGGCA